CCATTGGTGGGAAATGATGCGGACCAAATTGTTGGAAATGGTAACGGTAATAAAGGTGGCAGTAACAAAGCGCAACTACAACTGCCGCTGCAGCAGCAGCAGCAACAGCAGCAGCAGCAGCAACAGCAGCAGCAAAATAAGTTGACGGGAAAACCTTCATCTAAAGACAATAAGGGAGGTGAAGAAAAGTCGAATGAGAGAGTGGTGCAACAAATACTTCAAGATACTCAATAAATGTATTGTAACTTATATATAGGCATATACATCATGCATATTTTCAAATTTATGGAGAGCACAAGTTTGTAGATGCCATACAAGGGGAGGATGTTAGGCTCAGCTATTCAAAGGGAGCTTCACACTCAAAAATTCAATGAACCCCCACCGCTAGCTCGAGTTCGAAGGTTTTGGTGAAAGAAAAAAAAAGATAAGGACCAAGCGAGATTCGAACTCACGTTACTAGAATACTCTGTACAAAGAAGCAATTGCTTCGATTGTTTCAGAATCTAGGGTGATGCCAGGCTACACCATTGGTCCCTTCTAAGGCTACGGCGAGAGTCGACCGAGAGGAAGACCCTTTACCAAGGCGAATACCACTACGCCAGAGGGTATGTCAAAAATTTTTGTTCACCCATGTGGTATCCAACTGTGCCTATTCTTGCACGTGCAAACAATATACCAAGAGATGTAAAAAGGTCATTAATTGAACCACATCCACTGTAATGACTTTTTTTCATTTGAACAGGGATTCTGCGCTTATTCAAACACGGTAAAAGCTGTATTAAACACTATTTAAAGAAGATGATAGAATTTCACCATCTCAACGAACTGAAAAACTGAAAACAACACCAAACTGATATTAACTAACAACACACTTATCACTTCCTTTAAATTCTTGATACCGTTCCTGATCTCTCTCCTTCAACTTCTCCTTAATTTCAACTGGAAAGTATTTCTTCATCATTTGCATTGCTTCCAAATCCAAATTACTCGAATCAGCCTCCAACACTGCATTTTGCCTTCGGCACAAGGGACAATCCACCCGTTCACGTTGCTTCATTTTAACTAAGCACAGAACACAGAATAGGTGGCCACATGAAAGCCTGATTGGTTTGTAGGCAATGTTTGTACATATAGGACATGAATAATCGTCCAATTGCGGTATAAGTTCAAGCACTGATGTTTGCATTATATAACAAACAGAACGAGCTAGTGACTTCCCACTAACAAAGATGTGGTCGGACGATATGAGTTTGGGGTAGACGTCCTGGATGTGTAATGATGTTTGCTTATCAAATTTTTTCAATATTTTGCGCAATGCCTCAGTATTTATCGTTTGGAATTGAAGCATTTTGAGAAGATGGATATTCATTTGAACAAATTGGTTGTAAGCTTCAATACTTTGCTTCTTCTTGAACTGGGTGAGAATTCCCGTTTTGTTGACATGGTCCATGAATTCAGTCAAGTGTTGTTGAATTTGATCACTGTCTCTTTGTCCGTGGTCAACGTCATTGTATTTAAAATAAACCTCGGAATCTAAGTATAATCGAAACAACTCGCGCCATTTATAAAGTTCAGATTTCTTGTCCTTCATTAACGAAACTGCCTGTGCTACGTTTTGTACTTCTTCGATTATCTTCAGCTCTTCTTCTTTTCGTAACGTGTCCAAGGCCTCCAATTCCTCTTCCAACATCTTGAAGAATTTACTATCAGAATTCAACATGATGTAAATTTCTCGCCTTTTGTGGTCGTCGTCCAATACTAACCTATCCAACTTGTTGTGGATCCCATCGCCACCATTATTACCACCAACAGCACCACCCATACTATCACTAATATTGCCTCTTTCTACTTCTCCTTCTCTTTCTCCTTCACCTTCTCCTTCACTAGCCAACAAAGGTGGTGATGTGTGTGGGGACTGGGGAGACATTGGAGGAGAAAGGGAGCCTTCTCTACTCGATACGATTTTCAACTCACCTTCATCCTCAGTCAATTCTATAATTTTCTCCTCGTCCGCTTCACTTTCGTCCTCATTCAACAACCCTTCAATTTTTTCCTTTATTTCATGACAAATTTGATTGATTTTGTCACTAGACAATTCCTCATGACTAAAATCCAAAGTAATCTTCAACATTGGTTTAATAGTATGGCTGTCAGGTGAGGGTTTGGTCAAGGTATACTCTGCAATGACTGGATTCAGTGGACCTGTGCTAGAATCATCTCTTTCGTCAATATCAACCACCTTGTCATTAAGTATAAGTTTTAATTTGTTTTGTTCCAACCCAAGAAATTGCAACTCATCAACTACTTTATTGATAGTTTTCTTCAACGCTTTGTATTTGATTGCGGCTTCTACCCATTCCTCGGGGATATCCTCTGCCAAAGTACGTTCCAAAGTCTTGGCAAATTTCATGGTGAGATCTTGTAGATGAATTACCGCGGGTTAGTGTAATATCATTCCAAAAACAAGGGGAAGCACCAGGGTGATTGTTTTGGTTTCCTCTCTCGTTTCAATAGCCAAGTGTCTTTGATGTGGTAGTCTCTTGTGTGTAGTAGTGAAAAGTGGATGAATACAAATACGTATATATATAACTTTCTCCTTATAGAAAACCTCAGATTAGATGTCTCTAGCTTATCCTTCGTATCTACAATTGTAAATTTTCTTTTTCTTACCCTTTGTCTGTTCGGATTTGTGCGCTCATAATTTTTCATCTTTTGGTTTTTTCTTATTTTTTGAAATTCTCAGTATAATTTATTTAACACGACAAGCATTTGAGAAAGGCGGGACAAGAACAAGGTGGCTCATGCACGTGGTACAAAAGCTGGAGAACAGCAATACTACTTCAATCAATTCTCAACACACCACTTGCTTGATTCCCATTCTGCAACATTGTATGCAGAAGCATCAAAATCTCAGCACCTGTTAGGCTAGAAATCCATAAGAGCTCAGCTTACTATCTTGGCATCTGTCAACACAAAACTGTAAAAAAGGTGACCTCATCTCTCCAAGAATCTTTGGCTCTAACATTTTCGAAGTCATCTAGACCTATAAGGAGCCTATCCCATTTTGATGAAACCGTGTGTGAAAATATAAATCACATTACACACCATAATCAAATTTTTCAGTTACTGGTGAACATCATTGACTCCATGTCTCAAAAAAGACTTTAATACTTTTATAAAGTTTAGCAGAAAAACGTTGCAAAAAAAAAAAAATATATATAAAAAAAAGAAAACAAACCAGCAAACGCAAACGAAACATATAATCGAGTTAGGAGAAACACTTCTTTTCTTTCCAACTGTAGCTTCGAACACAAACACTATAATAACTCAAGTACATCAACCCCCCGCCTCCTAAAAAAAAACTCAAAAAAAAATAATTTTCTACTCCCTTGCGGGGAATCGAACCCCGATCTGCTCGGTGAAAGCGAACCGTGATAGCCATTACACTACAAAGGATGTGTCGAAAATTAGAAAAGCTCCCTTGCGGGGAATCGAACCCCGATCTGCTCGGTGAAAGCGAACCGTGATAGCCATTACACTACAAAGGAAATTTCATGACAAAAAACACCCCTGCTTTAAGCCATCGGAAAAAGTATAGCTTTTTTTTTTTTTGATAAATAACCCAGAAAGGAATTTCTTTTTAAAGGGTGGTCTTGCACGATCTTCATGCCAAAGAACCTTCAAGGGGGTCTATTTAGCCACTGATTGAATCTACTAGATTGGAACGGCATCCAAAGTGGTACTGAATCCTATCTATTAAATAATTAATCTACGTCAACTAGTATGTACATTTTCGGCACTCAAATCAAGACTCCTACTTCCATCAAACTTGTCTTCTTCATGATCGGCAGTCGAATAAAAATCCGTATTGGGTGTAGATCCCAAATCTTTCAACACCGAGTTAGTAGTCGTGTTGTGCTGCCAATTCATCAACAGGTTCGCAGTATCTGTTCTACTGGCATGTTGCGGTGAGGATCCTCCTCCTACTTCTCGTGCTCTTTCTGATACTGCATCGTCTCCCTGCTTGAATACTGTTGCATTACCCAACACATCATCTAGTTCATTCTGATTGTTGTCATTCTGCGACTGAGCTGAAAGGTAGGGCGAACTAGGCATGTTTGTCATTGACAGTTGTTTGTGCGATGCATGTGAAGGAGAGTTGGTGAATGATGATTTCTTCATTTGTGTTATTGGGTTTTGGTCAACTGGAGTTTTGGAATTGGGACTATTCCCATCTTTTCTCACGGGATCAGTGAAGAAATTCATCCACGTTGAGTTTGAATCGTCGTGAATAGATTGTAACATGGCGTCAAATTCAGCTATTTCTTTATTCGTCACTGGCTCTTGTGGTGGACAATTTTCCTTATCTTCCCCCTCGCAGTAACCAATAATTGTCGTGTTTTGTCTGGCCGCACGCTTGGCATCAGTATCTGCAACATTTATAATCCTAGTATTGGACTTTGTCGCGAGCATTGGCGGCGTGGCACCAGGTAATGGATCGATATCTGTAGATGGACCACCATACACATTGAGTTGATGTAGTAGATCATGATAGTCGGGTGTTTGCCCCGATGGTAACGGATTGAAATGATGACTGTACTGCTGCTGTTGCTGCTGTTGCTGCTGTTGCTGCTGTTGCTGCTGTTGCTGCTGTTGATTATAATTTTGACCACTGTGGTACTTATTTTGTATCACTTGATTAATTGCGGACGGCGTATGCGATGGAGTTGGGAAAGTTTTAGGCGAAGAATGGAACGCTCTTTTATTAGCAACATCATTGAGTGACGTAGACGACAACGACAACGACGACTGCTTGGCATTATCGGTATCGTCCTCCTTGGAGTTCTTCATTTTCAACTTTTGCGTGTATCGCTGTTGTTGATTGTATTTCCTCACAACATGCTCAGGTCTCATAAAACCTTTATTTTTGTAAAAAAGAAAGCACGCATTACATAAAGGACCAAGCATACCTTCATAATGTTTCTTGTCAAACTCTGTAGCTCGTATAAGAGCTGAAAAATGCGGCTTGTACTCAGTTTCAAAGTATTTCCATGCAATTGACGACTGCGTTTGGCAGCAAGAGTTTATGCAGACCAATCCATGATTTTTGGGTAATTTTGCACTAGTTATTGTATGAGTGCGCTTGCTGTCCAAATCCTCGGGTAATTCTGGTGGGGTTTCTTTGCTCACATATGGCGGTTGTTGAGGCGTGTACGGCGAAGTAGCATTGTAATCCTCATCATCATCTTCTTCTTCCTCCTCCTCCTCCCCCCCTTCTTCTTCTTCACCTTCCTCGATACTATCATCGTTATCATGATTGGCTTTGTATTCAGGGTCATCTGACGAGTACTCTTCTTCGTTGATTGGCGAAGAAACCATAATGGGTGTGTTTGTGAACATGGACCTGGTACGGACAGCTCTCTGAGTGATCAACTGAGATGGAGTTGAGCTAGGTTTGCTTTGAGACAAAGGAGTAGTTGCAGAAGAATATTTTGGTCTCTTTTTCCCACTATCATAAACTGCCTTTTCCTGAAAGAACGGCGCCAGCTTGAATCTATTTTCAACGTTTTCTCTATTATACCTAGTGGCTGTATTGGCACGATCAGCTTGCTGTATGTTTTGAATATGTGAGTAGGAGGGCAACGACAACGTCCTCTTTGCCTTGGCTGAGTTGTATGCCGAACTGTTTAAAGGTTCGTACGGTCTTTTTCTCTCAACATGAGAGCAGTTAATGGTTGACAATGGTTGTCTAGGCTGCACTTGATGACGTTGTTGTTGTTGTTGTTGTTGTTGTTGTTGTTG